ACATAATTTTTCAAGAGAAAAAAAAAAGACATGAACCTCTCAAAGACAAATACTGAAGACCTAATTAGAATGCAGAGTGATTTGTTTCAAGCTCAGCGTTGTGGAAACCACAACTCACTTTCTGCATCGAAACGCGTCTGTGGTGACAAGGGAGATCATTCCAGTGTGTTATCAGCAGGTAAGTCATTTGTCAACTACAACATTGTGCTCAAATAGATTAGTGGCAATAACACACTTTTTATTAACTACTTCCAGAGACAGGATAAAGCAAAATGCTATTGGTGTTGTGAGAAACAAGCAGAAGCTATTACTTTTAAACTTAAACTTTGATGTTCAATCAAGTATATTATAATACATTTTGCTCAAGAGTGAGTGTTTATCACTTCACACACACTGTCGTTGGGATGCCTGTAAAGTTCGCTATTACCAAATTAACCCCACAGTAGATCTCACCACCGAGGCATGTATCACAGTTTGAGAAATGTTGGTATAAAGGAATCACTGCGCACAGAATCGTTAATCTACTTAAGTGTCCTTCAGCAGTAATCCAGTCCTCGCCTTATGCCCCCTGTCGTGACTGGCGTGGCTTTGTTTGCAAATCACGCGTGGGAATAATGTGGTCGGAAGCATCTGTCAACAAGATACAAGTCTCACTCACTGCAGTGCGCTTTAGTCCATGGGTGAGAAATTCCTCACCGCTAACCCCACGAATCAGAATCCTTGATAAGATAACAGCCGCTCAAAAATAACCCACATTTTACGAAATTCATAAGTTCATCAACAATTAAAAAAAAAACACCATCGTAAATTCACTTGAATTCTACGTTTTCCCTATTTATTTAAGATCAATTTCAACATTATCCTCCCACCTACATTTAAGTCTTGGTGGGGAGTAAAAATTTATGTTGCGCTTACGTAATTTTCTCAATTCGCCTTTAATTGCCTAACGCTTGCGCCCAAATGTTGTATTTAACACCGTCATGTCAATAACCCGAAGCTGTATTCATTACTAAAATGAAAAATTAGCTTCGTTAAACAACGCGATAAACGTATATCAAATATCTCTACTGCTGCCATACTTAATGTTCTTACTCGTAAGTTCTACTAAAAACTAAAGGACGTGGCATCACTCCATACGTAATGCATTGCCGGTTCTGCTTGTAATTGTCAAACACAACGTTCTGTTCATAAACTGCGTAGGGCTGCTTCGCAACGAAACAGCTGTGACCATAGATCGCTTTGTGTGCATTAATAAACCGTATATAGTTCTGTCAACCATAAAACAGTAAATGTGAAACTCCTATAACCTCAAAGATACGTAGAAAAATAGACTCATTATTTCTTGTTTTACAAAAAGATATCGCTATATAGAATTTGAGGTTTTCACGGTGGTGAGTCAAAATATGGCTTGTCTTCTGGGTTGTTGCGTCGTGCAGTGTGGTAGAAGTTGCTTGCTGCTTCCATCATCAGGGCGATCGCAGCAAAGACCTCTGAAACGTCTCTAAACTTCTACCAGACTACATGGCTCAACAACCTAGAAGACAGCCATCTTCAAAAGATGTTATCTCTTCCCGTTTCGTCTATTAGACCTCGCTGTGCAGCGAGACATACTACACACTTCCATAACATGATAACAATTTGCTTCCTATGACATGCCAGCTATTTGCTGCAGAGAACACAAAGCCGTAGCTTGCATTCCGACCAATACACACAATCCTGTGATTATAGTTTGTCCAGAGTTTCGACCGAGCGAAATTTCTCAGGCAGGAGAAATCCACTTCGGTGTGCGTAATAACAGCTGGTAGATAACCATTTCCTAGCCAATGATTACTTGGCGTTGAATTGACTGTGGGCTGCAGCGGAAACGTGTGAACTGGCATTTGCTGTTACATTTTTCGTTTACTGACTTTGTGTCGAAATAGTAATAATCACTTTAGGTATTAAATAGATGCTAAGCAACGGACACAGATCACGTTATGTATTATTTAAAAGCATATACAAAATTACTCGCCAAGCAACCAGACCAGAGACGGAGAAAAGTGAACAGCCGTAAGGATTTTATAAACAAACGAACCTCTTTCTATGAGAAATGTAACCTTTCAGGAACAGATTAGACCTCACCGGAAACTTTACCTGGCGAGTACTTGTATCGCTTGAGGCTTCTTAGAGTCGTTTCATTTATTTCCCGCGAGGGCTTCATTTCACTATGTACCATTTCACTATGTACACAGTACTCCAGATAATTCGACGCTGCCACAATTATATATTTTTTCCTGACGTCCTCTTCGGAACCCTCTCTCCTTAAAATATCTTTCGATCAAAGAGTACTCTGCATTTCTGTTTATTCTCCGTTTCTCTTCACACTCTGCCCTTTTTCGTCTTTCTCAGTTTTCATCCTTGAAAACTCTTTTATATTCAACCTGTCTCGCCCTTTGCCTTCCATTCCCTATTTATCTTCACTTTTCTTTCCCCTCTTCTTTATTTCTTATCTTCTTTCCTTTCTCTCTCCGCTCCTTCTCACAAATTCGGGTCGCCATGGCGCCTCAAATTTTGTGTTGGGATATACTTTCAAAAGTGCAGAATGATTTAATGTTGGCTAGAATCGGTACCTTGTTACATGTATCTGAAATCGAAACGAACAATTTTTTTTTCTAAAACAGTTTATTACATAAAATATAAATCACATTAAGATCTACTATTTTTATTTGCAACACTTCGATGTTGCAAAACTGTAACGAAAAAAAAGCTAAGTAATTTTGTCCCTGTTGGCGTTACTAACATAACAAAACTCAAAAGTACAAAAAGTGTTGTGGCCTCTGCCGAGTTATATCAAAATTAGTTCCTTGAATATTAGGAGAAAAATTCACATAAGCCTAATTTTCTTTACGTCATGACCGCAGGTAAACGAGAGTTGACTATTTAAAACTGTGGAACGTAAGAGATGGCAGCTGAGGAGAATTAATTGCCTTCTATTCTGACCATATCCTTGAAACTACTGGGCAATCAGCGTTACCAGAGGTGACGTGTTATTACATTATATGCAAAGGCCTTTCTTTGGCCCATACAGTGAGGACAAGTGTTGGCAAGCTGATACAGCTGTTTCCACAACACAGTCACGCGCACGTTTCAATGGGATGCTGACAAGAAATCCCACGCGCGTATTGTGTTTCGACCTCTCACTCCAACCCAATGCCCTAGCATTCATCTGCAGGGTCCATATAGTGTAGAGTTAGATGGGAAGACGGTCATGGAAACAAATAGGTAAGAATTTTAAAAGGGAAACTTCAGGTACACTTCTTCTATCTGGGCACTTGCGTCGAAAGTCCGAACATTCCACAGGAAACCTAGTCAAAATTACCAGTAATCCAGACAAAACTCAGAGATTATAATAACCTTCTCATTGCACACTTTTCTCCAGCCTTGTTTTACGTCCTGTGTGTTTAACTCGAGTATTCCTCACAACAAGCTACTTTCAAACGCCCTCACTACATGAGATTGGAGACTGGACTATGACGTCATGTGGACTTGTAGATGATACCAACGTTTCGAGGGAACAGGACCGCCATGAACCTCCTCGATTTACGTCAAGTTTCATACTTTCACATAATTATTTATTATGTTAGCTCGGGCAGATGATGCACAGTCAGAAAATAGCAGTAGACAGTGAACCTATTGCTAATCAGAAATACATCTACCTGTCTTAAACAACCCCAAAGCAAGAACGTAATCCTCTTGGTAAGTACTTCCATTCAATCTCTCCGTGTAAGTTTGTGTCTTTCCCAGGACTTTCCGGAACCCACTTGTTAGTCTCGACATCACTTGCATTTAACGAGCTTGGTCATTGAAACCATTGTAAAATCGTGAAACAAGATTACTGAGCAGTGCACGGCCTATTGTAAGAGAAATGCAGATGCTGGAGTTGCTGACTGAGCCGTTAGCCTGGCCTGTGATGATTTCATGTGCAGTCTCAACAACAATGCAAGACTAATTGTGGGGTGTAGCACTAAGAACAGACTGTGATCTTCGCACGGACTCTCACAACTAATGGTGCCAACCGTACGAAGCCACTTTTACCTTAATTACTTTACTTCGCCTTTACTTTTCAAACAAAGGCGTTGAGACCAAGTCTAAAGTAGTCGAAAGCAATCCATACCTTTTCGGGCAGAATATTTTAATATGCTTTAAAACAGTAACTTGCCTCTTAATTGACATAGCAATACCGACTGACAGGAATGTGATTAGGAGAAGATCTTGAAATACAAGGACTTTCTCATTGAAATACAACGAATTTGGAAAGTGCAAGCAAAAGTAATCCCAATAATTATAGGAGCAACTGGAACTGTCTCCAGGTCACTCAGAAAATATTTGGCCAACATCCCGGGCGAACACGACATCAGGGAACTGCAGAAAACTGCCATTTTAGGATCTTCATACATCATTCGAAAGACGCTGTTGTAAAATAAAATTATATAATACATGTAGCACTTGCTAAAAACAACACGTATTCCGGAAATAGCTGCTGCTTTATGTAGCTTAGGGGCAAGGTCTGTTCCGGGTACATGGAAGTACATATCCCATAAGGTGGTGAATAGATGGGATAATAATATACTGCTCTAGTGTGTTGTTAGAACCCCCTTCTTATTAACTGCAACAGATGATGCTCTATTACACTTCAACTGCCCAGAAACACACATGGCCATACACTTCAAGTCACTGGGTATATGTTACCCAGACGTTTCGGAGCCTCTTTTCTTTTCAAAAACGTCTTAGCTCTATTCATATCTACGCGGCTGATCATCCTAAGAAACTGCATCGCAGTTAGTCGTAGCTAAACGTCCCGCGTTACATAACCACACTATGCAGTAAGGATAGGTAAACTTCTTATGTTTAAAGTTCCCCTTTCTCCTCAAAGACTTCGGCACTGCAGAGGTATTAGCGTATGTGGCACTTCCTTCCAGGAGATCTGCATTGTGCAGGGGGCAGGAAGGAAGGAAGGAAGGAAGGAAGGACTCCTCCTACGAGGCGTTACACCCGCTGGTCCTCATAATTGCGCCTCCGTTTCTGTTTCTCACGACACGTCTTCTCCTTCTTCTTTGTTCTCTTACCATTCGCTTTGCTCACTTTGCAATATACATTCCTTTTGAAGCGGTTCTCTATGAAAATAAGGTATTTTTCAGCGCCGTGACAACCACGGACGTCTGTATTTCGGGTTCATGTAAAACAGTGATTGAATCGATACAAACCAGAATGAATACGCCCGCGAACAAAATTGAATTGAAATTCGTTTAGTACTCGTAGGTCCTAGGATGTGCAACAGACAGACCGACAGGCATGGCCTCTTTCCCATAATGCGTTAATTTTATGAACGCTGTGTAAATAACTCATTAGAAATTTGGAGTGATATTCCCGTATGTGTTTTACATTTCTCTAATACTAGTATATTGCGGGAAATCTAAAGCAGTTAACACAGCCATAAATATGATCCCGTAAGGACCAAAATAGCTTAGAAGTAAATCATCACAAACCAACACTCGCTTATTATACAGATAATTCTACTTGCCTTATTTCATGACGAAACGTGATATCATGATACCATATTATTGTTTTCTTGTGTCTTATTGTTTCGTTCTGTCTAATTTTTTTGTTATGTTTCATAGTTTTGTTGTGTCTTATTGTTTCCTTCTGTCTCATTGTTTCGTTCTGTCTCATTGTTTCGTTCTGTCTCATTGTTTCGTTCTGTCTCATTGTTTCGTTCTGTCTCATTGTTTTGTTGTGTCTTATTGTAGTACCACTGCCACCGGGTAAAAACCCATTTGCAGTTAATAATAAATAATAATAATATGATACGATGTCATGTCCACATGAATATATACTTCATAATAATTCTCAAATCTCTTTAGAAATCTTGTACGGAAATCACACACTCTGATGCATCTTACCTTTCCATTTTTTAAAAAAAAATTCCTGGCATCAATAGTACAAAGTGGCGGATGGGCGAAAATAGGAGTTATAAGCGACCTCAGGACTTCGGTGTTATGGCGTCTGTTTCTGTAGTCTTCGAAACAACTTTGGTTTTGGTGCCGGTCTTCTGCCGTGCTTAGTGTCTGAGCTACAGAATCCATTTTCACTTGGAATCGAACCGAGGACAATTTTCCTGATTTCTGACTTCTGATTCCGCAACCTCCTCTTCGAAAACGCCGTCACCGATAACTGAACGCGGAACTTAATTCCTGGTCTCAAGGAATAAGGATGCCAAGTTTGGTACAAATCTGTTAATCCATTCTCAAATATAAAGATTGTACATTATACAATGATAGTGTCCCTCCCACCTCAGAAGTTGCAGCTAAATTCGTATCAGAGTCGACAGAAAATGAAGAAAAAATCAATTCTCTGGGCAAAATTATTTTCGTACCAAAATTAATAAAAATATGTATAATATTTAAGAAATTACCATTTCTTCCTTTTAAGGGAAGAAAGAGTTCTAAAAGCGACAGAAGAGTATCGACTGAGAATAAAGACGTTAGTGTAACGCGCTTGAGTTGTGGTATTAGACTCGGCTGACTGACCACAGGCCTCTCTGCGGTGCTGACCTTGCAAGATCTGACTGCCCTGCGGTTCACCGTGGCCCACGTTCCTGCAGATTGTTTGCACTACGAGTGTCACCACACACAGGCCGTGTTACGTAAGCTCAAACACACCCAGTTTTCCAACTCTCTTGCCAGTGAAACTAAAACCATGAGCTAAATTCTGGTTACTAAACTTCGAAAAACATTATTCAAAAGTCGACTGACGTGGCCTATGGCAAATAATCCGTTTAGGAATGCTATTGCTTTCTGCTTATTCTAGGCATGTATAGTCAACCAGCACAGGGTTATAATGCCGCTATTCCACATTTAAGTTCATCCACGATGTTTTCTGAACTGCAGAGCGCGAACTGGTGTGCAGACCAACGTTTAAAGTTTATGTGCTTTATCATTTCGAAATCCTGTCCACATATTTCAGTAAATAGCTCTTTAGCTATGTATTCCCTACCACTACAGCCTTCACATTTGACCATGGTGGCAGCGATGCTATAAAATGACGAAAAGATGTAACATAGTTGTTGTGAGAGTTGCGTACGATTATGAAAGGGGGTGAGATGGTAGGTTGAACAATCTGGGTATTGTGCTGTCTTCATCAAATGTTCTGTACGAGTTAGTCGGTCGAATTCCTTTTCATAATGGTCGGTTTTCCCTGTAGTGAATACTAGCCAGACACACAGACATTTTGATGGTGGTCCTAAGTGGAGCTTAAATCAAGTTTCGTGTAGGTCGCTGAGTTGCTACTGGAAATTGCACACCCAACGATTTCCATCTTGTTATAAGTACCTTTGTCTAATGCATATGTAGATTAGTATTTTGCATAAACAGATATATATAATGGCACAATCGTGTTTAGACTGATGATTCAGGATATGTAATTCTACATCTCGATACGATTGATCGACTCAGTAGCCGCAGCTATTAACTTTAAATGCTATTTTTATCAAGAAAAATACATCGCCCTTCTCAACTGAGCGAAACGTACTTCCAAGTACACTAAATTTAATTTGAAATGAGGAACAATTCTGTAGTTTCAATTTAT